CGTGGTTTTTTAAGAGAGAAAATATCGCATTCGAGTACAGTTTCGATATCAGTATCGAGTGCAATGTTATCTCTCTTAAAAAACCACGGCTTTATTGCGTCGAATTTCTTTGTTAAAATTGGTAAGTGAGGGCTTAAGTCTCCTGACAACAGAATAGCGATCTCAAAATTGGAGAAAAATGACGAGTACCTGAAACAATGGAACCAATTGATGCGATATATCGCATGCCGTTCTGACAAAAAATGTGGCGTCCATCGAATCACCTTAAGCTGAACCTTTTCTCCATTGATCGCTCATAATTTGCGCAAGAAAATCCAATGGAAAGTTAAAGTCCGGTATGACGACTGACAGAGACATTCAGCGCAATGCGACGACGATGGCTCCACGAATGAAAAAGTGCCTTCAATTTTGAGTGATACCACAGCACACGTAGAAGCTCAATAAGTCGCATGCTTCATTCCGCACGGGTTTTACGGAGGCCAATGAAGGGGCAAGGGGCAAACATTTCAATTGATGGGGTATTGACCTCATGTTGACCGTAGAGAAAAAAAGGAAGTGTTTGCATCTTGAGGTTTGTTTACCCTGTGACGTAGGTCGGTACAACCTGGCCAGCGAAACGCGGAATGCAAAGTATGAAAAACGGACCATAATGTCCGATTTTTTTTTGCTTAAATCAACTCATCAACTCATCAATTTCAAGCACTTTTTGTAGAATGACTTTTTTCCATAAATTACACAATTTCCAAGAAAATCGATGATAAACTCGTTAAACGGACCTACGTCATTCAAGATGCCCGAAATGCAAACACCTCCTTTTCTTTCTCTATGCATGTCTACGGCGCAAACACCCAAACCGCGAAGCTCGCTGGCGACGTTGAAGATTTTCTGTCATACTTAATTTTTTGGCCGAAATGCTACTTATAATAAATGCGTAAAAACATTCGTGATTTTTCTCCTTCATGAGAGGCAGGTCCAATTCGTCGTCGTTCGGACGAAGGAAAGTAACTCCATTCCAAGGTTGCCAAATTGTTTCAAACAATTAATTTATTTTGCCAGAAGGTACCTGAAGAATTTTTAGTCAAAATTTGTCTGAATTTCGCATTAAATCCGAGGAACAGTCGGTGAAATTTTCGGTTAGAACTGCCCAAAATTTTCCTTGTTAATATGCGATTTGCGAGGAGCAATTTGGCAACGTTGAAATGGAGTTACGTCCTTTCGTGGGAGGGGGGGGGGCGACAAATTAATGGAGAAGAAGAGAGTCAACGTACAGTAAATACAAGGATTTAGAATCGTCGAAAATGCCACATGAAAAATGAAGCAAGGAGAGAAAATAATTTTTCAGGGGAAATTGAAAAAAATAAGAAAATGAAAAAATGGCAGGAAACACCGTGAAGATCAAGGAAAATGGGTGAATAAAATGGGATATAAAAGGAATGAATTTGAATGATGTTAATAATGGTATCCTTGCCGACGAAAAGTGATGTGGAAGAAAAAAGTTAAGTCTACGTATCATTTGAATATTAAAATGATGGAAAGAGGCTGAATCATCCAAACATTCGGTAATGCCAAAAATAAGACTACATACCTTTTGCGACTCGAAAGTTCATAACAGACAGCATCAGTAACAGACCACCAGTTGTGAAGCTGGAAAATCTGAAAAATAAAACAAAAAGAAAATAATCGAAATGTATCAAAGGGATGAGAGCTATGATTTAAAGGGAAAATAGGGACTCACAATTTCGAGATGGGAGAAAATAAATCTGTGGGTTGCATATAGGATTAGGAGCTTTTGAAGCTTACAATTCAAAAAATACGAGTATGAAACGATGCAGATTGCGCAGAGGGAGATTGGTGGTGGAAATTTTGTCGGTAGAAGTAATCACAGTGACTCGATCTTAAAAATCGTCTTTGAACCACAATAAAAAACCAGGTACTCGTAAATCATGATTTGTGATTTTTGAGGCCAAATTCATGATGCAGAAACAAGTGAATAAATTAATTTTAATTTTACTCATAGGATACTTTTTCTCATACCTACATCACCTCTCCAGAATGCGAAATATTTGAAAGAAAAAAAAAAATGATTTCCACCCGCAATCAATTGTCCTCGAACAGGAAATCAGCAAAATTTGACTTATCGCCCCCAGAACGGTTCAATTTTCGGATAAATACTTGGGAACATGTTTCTAGTCGAAATATCAACATACACCTTAGGTATTGCCCAATTCGAGCATTGAAATGATCACACCCTATGAATATTTCAACAATTGCGAAACCATGCATAGATTGAAAAAAACTTGGAGAAACAGATGAAGTAGTATATGGAATATTAAAGAGACGGACCCATATTAAGCGGACAAAATAAAAAACGCAAGTCAACTGTCCGACAACCCGAGTGTTCATAGAAAAATGAATCTAGACCAACTCACTCGGCATTAAGTACAGCTGAAACTGCTGATTTTTCACAATTAGGAGAGGGCAAGCACATGAAGTCACTTATGAATTTCACGAACGCGAACGGAGTCTTCGAAACTGCTGAATCACGGACGGCCGGCGCGCGCGGTGCCATCGGGATTTTAAAACATGGGTGAACTGATCAGATCGAAAATTTTTCACAAAGAAAATGCATCTCTCTTCACGATTACTTTTAGCGAGGATTTACACACGATATCTTGAAATTTCCTCGAAAACAATTGACAAGCACTACAAGAGGGGCGGCACAACCGTAGGAAAAACGTTTTGCCACTTAAATGAACAGATTTAAGGTTTTAAACGGGGCAACTAGCCACCGGACGGATACTGCGTGCAAGTGGGAGGCAATCTTTAAACTAGACAGACAACTGACAAAGGAAAATGCCATAGGCTGGGCGTCGTTGGAAGGGGGAGGGGAGGGGTGTCCGCACGTGTACTAGAACGGTCTGAAACCATTGGGACTTCTGGTCCGGCGAAAAACGTATGCGTGTGTGTGGGGGCCCGGCCCTCCTCCTACCCTTGCAGTTTCAGAGACACTTCCTCCGACGGGAAACCGATAAGTCTCTTCGTCGCTCTCTCTTATGTAACCGTTTCGAAGTTTCGAGAAACCAATTTTGGCTGCTCCACCTGCCTTTTCTGGCCGGTTCCATTGTTACCCTGTCTAGACGCTGTCGCCGGTCTAGATTTCCTACGCAAAACAAGCTGTCTGGCTCTCTTTTGGACGACGCCGACGCGATAAGACGGAAAAAAGGACCTCAGATTTTTCCAACTGGCCAGCGCAGCGTTGCGACATAGAGGGGGAGGGGGGGGGACTGAAAAGAACCTAGAAAGAACCTCTTATACTAGCACGGGTGGCTTTAACGAAATCTGTAAACCCGTAACCCCAAAATCTTAAAGCGGGAAACTACCATGGAATACTCAGGAGCCCGTTTAAGAATTACGTAACATACTTAGGGGGGAGGGGGCTAAGCCAGCGTAACGTTGCGTTACATACGGTGAAGGGTCAAGCTCAGCGTCTCATAACAAATTCGAGCCGGGGGGAGGGGGACTTTGAAAAACAACTTGCAAATAATTGAAAATTCCGCCCTTCCCGAATGAATGTATTCGGCGCGTGACCCTTTTTTCACACCTCTGTTGATCTCTTATCGTCGTATTTCAGCGAAATATCTCCAAAATACCCGAATTTTTTTCAAACTGTTTTCTCAGCCTTTCCTGATATTTTGAAAATTGGGGGGAGGGGGTGATGCTGGCATTACGCTGGCATTACGCTGGCATTAAAGGGGCTGCGTTACGGGTGCGTTACAAGGGGGAGAGGAGGGTCAAATTGAAAAAAGTACGTTGCGATTACGTAGTGCTTGAAGGGCCATGTAGAAAGCATATCCGGTAAAATGAAAATCGACCATTGATTTTGTTGACATTTTCTCAGTGAAAAATTTTTTTGCACCGAACTTTGGCTAGGTCTGCAAAAAAATAAAATAAAAAGAAATTGTTGGGAATATGATGGTTGAATCTTGTGCAATCTTCAGCGCTGAGGCCGGAAAGGACCTCTGTTTTTTTTCANTACTTCTGAGGACGCTATTTTTCCGCGGTGCGTTGTTTTTCTACTTAACTGCCTCTTCAGGGGCACGGTTTCTTATGCTGCAGAAAAAATAATAATAATTCTTGTCTAAGACTTACTACTCCCTCCCAATGAGCGCCCCTCGGAAATGTTCGGTAAAACGAATTTTAATGTCACAAAGAAGGGCTCCGCGTGCTCCAGATTTCGAGTGCAGCAGATTTTTTTGATTTTTTTATCGAAAGTGCAATGTTTAAGAATTTTTTGGCGGAAAGTTTGGTTTGATACAGCAATTCCATTGGGCGTGGGAAATTTTTGAAAAGAGCATGAAAAAAATGTTTCAAACTCTGTCAATCACTGAAAAATTGTCCGATTTACATTCGGTTTGGACAGGGTGGCTTGTTTTTTTGCGTAGAATTGATTTCTGAAATAAAAAAGTAGGAGTGCCATTTGAAAAGTTCGACTTACGGGTGGGACACCCCCCGCCCCGCGCCCCTCCCGAGGTTTGGGAAAATGTCAAATACGCCAAAAGGTGTCCCCCTCAACATAAACGAACACGTCTTTTACCGTTTTTCGAAATTCCGACGCGTTCGGCAGATATTCAAGGTGGCTCGTTTTTCGTGAGACACCCTGTATATCCTTTAAGGTGATTCGATGGACGCCATATTTTGTGTCAGAACGGCATGCGATATATCGCATCAATTGGTTCCATATTTTCAGCTACTCGTCATTTTTCTCCTATTTTGAGATCGCANGGGGGTGTCAATGACTTGAGCCGGACCTTGATACTTCTGAGGACGCTATTTTTCCGCGGTGCGTTGTTTTTCTACTTAACTGCCTCTTCAGGGGCATGGTTTCTTATGCTGCAGAAAAAATAATAATAATTCTTGTCTAAGACTTACTACTCCCTCCCGATGAGCGCCCCTCGGAAATGTTCGGTAAAACTATAGGTGCCTACGTCACTAAAGCGTCACACGAAGAAGAAGGGGTGGGGGCAAAAATGCCGTAAAAAAGTTTGTTACATAATTAACAGACGGCCCCTACTAAGCAAGAACAATACTTCGACAGCTCACTTCAAAAATTGAAAAAATTGACAATTGTCTACTCATTCATGATTAATTCTGAAGGCAGGAAAGAGCTAAGGAAGATCTTACCGTGATGAAGGGTTTATCTGTAAAGACAGGAACAGCTCTGATTGCACCAATCTGATTTCATCTGACTCTTCCATACACCGCCTTGTCAATTGTTGCAGAGACCAGAGAATATTAACTGTAAAAGAAATAATAAAATACCTTAAGAGATAAATCCAACTTAATATTTTGTAAATCGTCTAATATAATATTCCCAACTAGTATACGGCAACGAAAATATCGGAATAATGTTGCAATTTAAGGCAATAAAACTGAAATTTTTACGGTTTAGCCGCCAATAATTTTTTGCGGCGAGTTAAAGGCGATTTTTACTGAAGGGTCGTTCTTCATCAATACACTGCGATCTTCCTGATAAGGGCATTTTTTAGAGCCTGAGTTTTAAAAATTATCGCAAAAAATCAAAACAAATCTCAAATAAAAAAATTCAACAAATTACTGTATCATCGCATAAGATTGGAAAATTGGACTGCATTTTGCAATTAGGAACTATAAATTCCGGCCCGGTTTAAAACAACGTATGTGCCATTATTTTCCCTATGGACATAAGTGTTTTTTTAGATGAGCCAGAATTTATAGTTCCAAATTGCAAAATGCAGTCCAATTGGAAAAGAAAAAATCAAAAGACACCGCTCCCCCTCTTTCAAGCTTCTTAAATTTTAGCGATTCAGGCAGAAGACGAATCAAATCAACATTGAGAGAGTAAAGGTAGGAATGTGAATCACTATCAAAAGGATATCCTCAAACCAGATATCATGAAAGTACCACGAAATAAGTTTGCCGATAACTCGTATACAATGACAACCGACACGAGTGACAAAATAGTAACTTCACTAATTGCGAAACTCTCGGGATTAAAAAGAATCTCGAGGAAATCAAAAGAAAAAATCGCCCCTCACAGTTTCCTCACTCAGGCGATTCTGTGCGTAAAAGCATTTCTTAGTTGACGAGGAAAATTGAAGCATCGGGTGAAAAAAGGGCATTTCTTGTCTGCAGTGTCTCAGGGCCTCTGTTAACACCCCAGCCACTATTAAAGGAAACGCAAGAAATTCGCTAAAATTTTTACTAGATTATCGTTCAATTTTACAATGCTGAAAACTAAAAATTTTAGAAAATTCTCTCAATAGTTTCCTCTCTTAAATATAAACTAACAATGGAGATTCTAAACACCGCAACCGAGAAATGCATTTTCTGCACCCGACGCGGGTCAATTTTTGATGATACGAGCAAGCGACTTACCAAAAACACTGAGTGATTTACATACGAACAAACTGACATCCAAATTATATCCACGAACCAAACATTTTAGTACCACGGAAAAAGGGCTACCGAGAGCGCATTCAACGACTACGAATTCAAGTGACATTTACTTTCAACTTTGAAAAAACTCAACAAACTAAGGGATATTGGACAGAATAAGTAGCGTTTCAAAATCATTACAGCGAGGATCCACCGAACTTGACAGACAAATTAGCTCCTCGAAATCGGAAGCACCTAGAGAGGCCTGAACCGTCACCTTCGATTTCACACACCAGACTGCCTTAGACGTTTCACGTAACGTCTCCGATCAGTCCCTGGTAAGGAGGTGGTGGTGGGGGGAGGGGGGCAGGGGTGGCCAGATATGCCGAACATCCGCTCGACGGAATCCCTGTCTAGCCGTTTGGCGACCGGCCGGCGGCATCGGAGAAAATTCTCTTCAAGAGTCTCGGATGAAAGGGAAATCGGCAGTAAAAGAGAGATAAGAGTCTGGGTGTTGACTAAAAGAGGTGATGACAAAATACCTGTCGCGTTGGGGGAAAAACTTGGAAAAGCAGGGGCGGGGCATAGTCACACCTTACCAAAACACGAATCTCGGCTGTCACGAAGGACAATTCTGCCGTGCTAAGGCAAAACATCGTATAAACCCTCAGCCGTTGCCAAATTGCCTTGGATAAATCAGAAGTTTTGGGGTAAATTCGTAGATATATTTCTTCCAATTTTTCAAAGAATTTTTTTTCGTAATTTCGTCGCCTTCCTGACATAAGGGTGTAGACACACTCTGCAATGAACCCTGTCTTCCATACGATCAACGCTTTTCCGGGCTCATCTCAATGTGTAGTTACGCTCTTATGTCAGCCACGCGACGATTTGATATAAATAGTTTGAAAATGTTAAGGAAAAATATTCAAACATTTTCCGAGAGTAAATTTGGAAAACTTCGAATGTTCATACGGAGTTTTTCCTTAGCGCGGCAGAACGTAACGCAAGAAGACGAAACGAGGACGGAATTGAGAACTTTTACGGTAAGAGGGCGTAGGAGGTTTTCAATGCTGCTAAAATTGTAACATTTTTTAATCGTTTCCGGCAGATGAAATTCATTCACAGTCCACTTACTTCCTTGCAATAGTAAGGAAAAACTCGGAGTGGACTCTGGGGAAAATTTCCAGCAGAACTGTCTGATAAGTTACAACTGGAGAACTACGTTGCACAATCTTAGCAGCAATGTAGGTCTCACAAGCTCTTTTGCCGAAAAATGCCTCAATTGCAACCGAATCTGAGGAGGGGGCGAGAGTAAAATTTTTGCACGAAAAAATGTCACTTTCGCCGGAAAGGATGGGGGAGCAGATTTCAAAAAATCTACAAATCTGTCCTTAAACCATTTAAGTGTCCTTTAAAAAAAGGGCTATACTTTTATTCTAACAGTAAGCCGGGGGGCTAGGGAGGGGGGGGGCATTTCGTATCCGTTGCTCTCTTCAATTCTGCTTTCCTATAGGGAGAAACGCAAAAAAATTATTCGGTAAAATTTTTGGCGAGGTGTACGTCAAAAAAATTCTTTAAAAAAGTTCTTACTTCAAGAGTTTTTCACACTTTTCCCTACTATCTTTAGATAGGCAACAAACATAGCACTTCGATGCAGTGTCCCGAGTTCTCTATTTCAGAATCTTTGCTATGTATAATTTGGAGAGGAAATTTTTGGGTCAAGTTTTGGAAATTTTTCGTTTGGAGCATTGTGGAATCGTGGAGAATATTCACGAAAATTCCACACAACTGCTTCGATCATGATGGAGCGGAAATTCTGCAACACCGCGATCGAGAAGTGTCCTTACCGCACCCATCGCGCGAATTCGTCCTTTCCCGGACGAAGGAACGTAACTTCATTCCAAGGCTGCCAAATTTCCTCAAATAATTGCTTTATTTTACTAAAATGTACCCGAGCAATTTTTAGTCAAAATTTATCTGATTTTTGCATTAAATCAGAGTAAGAATCGGTGAAATTTTCAGTTAGGAATGCTCCTAATTTTCCTTGTTGATATGCAATTTGCGAGGGGAAATTTGGCAGCATTGAAATGGAGTTACGTTCTTTCGCGGGGAGGAGGGGGGACGACAAATTGACGGAGATATAGTTGCGACCGGCTAACGATTAATTTATTTCACAGAGTGTAAATATGCACTTTTAATCGAAAAATTTTCTGATTTTTGCATGAAATCTGAGGGAAGAAATGCCAAAGGTTTTTCTGGTAAAAAGTTAGCGTGAGAGAGACGACGGATTTTACCATTTAAATGCAATTTATTGTGATCTGTACTACTTGGGTAACCAAGTCTTCATCAAAACTGTACAATTTTTGGTGGTATAAGCAAGTGACTCGTCGAATCAACACTGAGAGGTATAGGAATACAATTACTTCTAAAGTGACTTAAAAAAAGATTTCCTCAAATCAAATATCATAAAAATACCACGGGAAAAGACTAACAAAAACTCGTACAATGACAACCGACAAGAGTGAGAAAATAGCAGCGCGACCGAATTGTGAATAAATAAAAAACATCCAGAAAATCAAAATGAAAAATCAAGGGTGCAAATTGTTCTAGGCATTCGCAATTTTCTGCAACGCGCTGGGTTTTCGCGAAAAGGTCGACGCGTACCCGCTGGTCGAAATTTTATTGAATTTTTTGTTAATTTTAGAATGGATGTCAATTGAAAATCTGAAAACTGAAAAATCTAAAGAAAAATAACAATACTATTCTCAGCTTCCACATATCGCACCCTTGTAAGCAATCGCCTGTGTTTCATACTACACGCAACCACACTCCCATCGATGATATGAAATTTTCAGTGATATACATAAACATAAAGCAAGTAACTCACCAATTCAACAATGCTGAAGAGTAAGTATACTCAGGGACAGAATGACTTCCAAAACTACATCCTCCAGCCGAATATCATGAAATTTTATCGCGTCACGGAAAAAAGACTATACCGGAAACTTTCACAATGGCAACCAACAAGAGTGAAAAAATAGTAACTTTACTGATATTGTGATACACAGCAAACTATCGAATTAGACGGAAAGGAAGAGTCTCTAAATCACAAGCGCATCTCTCGGGGCGACGAACCATCGAATTTTACAGAAAAATTAATCAGTTCCTCAAAATCACTGTACAGTACTGTATGTACAGTCTCTCTCGGTTAGGTGTACCCGACTGCTGCACGTGCCTGAAGTTTCACTTGACGTTTCCGATCAGAATCGGGAGGTGGAAGGGGGGACTGTTACAGGCGGGTGGCCAGTGCGTATTGGCGACCGGCTGGCGCGACGCCCGCGCCCGGGTGTCAGAGAAAATCTCTTATCAGGACTCACAATCAGAAGAGAGAGGATCGGTAGTTGAAGAGAGGTGGTGCCCGAATCGTACGAATGATGATGAAAAAACACCCGTCGCGTCGGAGACACTCGAACAAATGCTACGAAAACTTGCGAAAGAAAGGGCCAGACAGACTGATCACACCTCCCCTAAGCATGAATGCTCATTCTACCTTGATTAGGAAAAACGCCGTCGTATATTCCAGAGTTGCTTAATTAAGGCGTTGGGTGCAGAAAGAGCATTTCTTGGTTGCAGTGCTTCAGAATCTCCAGCGCTAATTTTTATTTTAGAGAGGAAACTATCGGGGCAATTTTCTGAAATTTTAAGTTTTCAGCATTGTAAAATCTTGAAGGATATCCAGTAAAAGTTACAAAAAAGTAAAATTGCATCCTTTTGCATTAATTATAATGGACGAAACGTTAGCGGAGATTTTGAGACACTGCAACCAAGAATTGCCCTTTCTGCACCCAGCGCCTCAATTACGTTAAATAAAACGTTTATTTTTGAGGAAACTTATGAGTATTATCGTCTTCTGGCGAATTTTTAAATGTCTTAGATCTGATTGCAGATCAAATTCTCTTAAAAATTAAAGGAAAAATATTTATAAACCATGAAAATTGGGTGTATTTCAACTGAGGAAAGGCAAAGTTTGAAGGCTCATATGGCGTTCTTCCTTAGCACGGCAGTTTTGTTAGAAAGTATTACGTGGCCCAAGAAGAGGGAGTGGGTTTGCTCAGTCAAGGATGCTATTGCATTCGAGTCATGATGGGTAGGAGTAAAGTTGGACGGTAGGGCGTAAGTTTTGCTGAGAAGGAGGGGCGAGCAGATCCAAAAGAGTCTGCAAAATGCTATCCGTCCTAAGGAAGAATACGGTAAAAAGATCTGAATATTGCCAAATCTTCTTCGATAAAATATATTTATTTTTGACGAATAAGGATTTCTTTTTCTTAAAATATTGGTAGATGCTTAGGATTAAAATGCGAATGAAATTTTCTAAATAATTGGAACAAGAAATCAAGAATATTGGAGGTTTTCAAGAAAATTTGTACTTCAAAAGAGGATATTTCCTTACTCTTGAAGGGGTTACACAAAGTTCTTCCATAGCACGACAAAATTGACCACGCACTTGAGGGCTGATTATTGAAATCGATAGATATAGCTATAGATAAAGCTATAGACGAGGGACTCAAAGGTAATTTAAAAAACAAATTAATGGCAACCAACGAGCGAACCTATAGTTAGTCTATTATTTTCCCTCATACAATTAGTTTATAAGAACCTCGCGTTTCAATCAATAGGATCGCTCCATTTTCCTTTCGTTTCCTTTATCTATCGCTCCGTATACCAAAATTCAATCACGGAATTTTGAGTTTTATGAACTTCGATATTTGAACGTGTATGGAAATTTTTGAAACGATCCGAGATTGTTAAACATGCGCTATAAATATGGAGCCGATGTGACTGGTTGGAAAGGACTTGAAAGCCTTGCCCTGTTGCCAATTTCCCAGGATGACCATCTCATTGCATAATTTTGAGTTTTTTGAACTACGATATTTTGACGCATATGGGAATTTTTGAAATTTCACTCAGAGGTTGTTTCAATTATGCTATAATGGACCACTAGACAAGGTACGAATTTCAGCATTATGATACATGTTTCTTAACCAAAATTTCACGTAAAGTACGATGCGCACAACGAAAATTACCGAAATCAACTCCTCACAACGATATTTAATGATTCTTGATGCGTGAATACAAACCACCCGCTCATGAAAACTCAATGCTCTCCGTGATTCACATCGCGCGCCAGACGTTATTATGACAGTCTCTGCGATATAAAAATCTTGCAACCTCGATCTTGACGCTTTGGATCAGCTATAGCAATTTGTTTATAGTTTGAACAACACATGGTGGGAAATGAACATTGCTTGATTAAGAAGCTTGCTGAAACCGTTGTAGTGCGCGATTTGACTCACGTAGAGCTTTGAGTTTCTCGTGAGCGGGCAGTTCAAATTCCTCGTAACCAATGTGAAATAAAAATGTTTATATCTCCGTTAGGAATTGGTTTCAGCAATTTTCATTGCGCGAATCGTGTGCTACATGAAATTCTGGTTAAGAAACATGTATCAGAATGCTGAAATTTGTACCTTGTCTAGTGGTCCATTTGGAGCTGATGTGATTGGTCGGAAAAGGACTTGAAAGCTATGATTTGTTGTCAATTTCGCCGGATGACCATCTCGGGCGTGGAATTTTAAGTTTTTTGAACTACGATATTTTGACATTTATGGGAATTTATGTAATTCCATTCTTATTAATTATTTATGTTGCAGAAAGTGGTAGAGATGGACAGCGAGCGGTGCTGTTGCAGCATCACGAATCCAAACGACGCATCTGCTCCGGCCAAAATCTTCACTTTTGACGGCGTCTATGATTCGCCTGCCACCACAGAGCAGATCTACAATGAAGCTGCCTATCCTCTTGTTGAGGTATCCTTTCATTTTCACCTGGAAATACGCATGTTTGCACTTATTAACTGTAAGGAATAACCAATTTCAGGCTCGGACTGGCCATAAGGCCAATCTGCCATTAGCAGATACGCCCCCTCTCCGCGCCGAAAATGCGCCCCTCTCACAGGTAGCAAAATAAGAAGAAGAAGAAGAAAAAAAATTACGACCGAGAATATGTAAGAAAAATTTCTTAAATGAACAGAAGAGGAGAGAGTTAGACCTCTTAAGAGACCTTTAAACATATTTCCTCATTTTCAAATGACTGTTGATTTGGACATACCATAGCATAGCTCGGGCAAACTTAACCTTAATTTATCTCGAAATTCAAAAGTAAGAGGCATCTAAAATGTAAACGCGATACAACTATTCGCGCAAGATGGATGTCCACATTGCATATGAAAAATGTAAGACGCGATGCCGTGAGTCGTGAACTCGCAATGCTCTGATCTAGTTTGAAGCAACATTACAAATAAGACAAACGGAAACAAGCACAATATGGTAATAAAGCGAGGGAAAGGATGGGCGTTAACGACGGCGCAGAGATACAACTATTCGTACTTGATGGACGTCCGTGCTGCATCTGAAAAATTGAAGGCGCGATGACGCGAACCGTGAGCTATCAATGCTGTGTTTTACTTTCAATTTTGCAATTTTTACTCCGTGCGATCGATAAACTTTGAACCTGAAAATAGCGTAAACTTGTGCTGATTTGCCAAAATTTTCGGAACCTCTCTCCACGCAGGGAATACCCAACCAGGAAATATCACATTACGCCCCTTTAACCAGCCAAGGGTCTACGCCCTCAGATGCGTGCCAGTCCGACCCTGACCAACATGCATTCTCCTCCATTGAACATATGTAGGTATTTAAATCAAACGGAACTATCCCAGTTTTAACTTGAGCTCGGAGACACATAAGAATATATGCAAGACAGGACAAATATCACAATTCAGAGAGTTCTATTTGATTTAAATGCGTTAAATTATAAATTTGAGCGATCGATCTCCAGAAAAATGCACGTGGAATGATCACGTGGCGAAAGACATTCTTTAATGAAGGGTCAAAGCTTTTAACTCTGTAAATGCATTCAGTGCGGTCTGAGAGGATCTTATAAAATCAGGGATGTAGTAGCTAGAACCATTACTTTTTCCATGCTTTCGCGTGAGATTCGTTTGATTTTGATGGCTAAAGTGCGAAACCACGTATCTTATTCATTGCGGTGCTTCAAAACATCCGCTTCTGTTCTATGTTTTCCGAAAAAAACGAGCCAACTTTATAAATTGGAAATACAGAATATTTCGTCAAAAGACACCTTCAAAGAAAAAAGAAAAAATAAAGAATGACAGGGAATCTGTGACGTGGCAAACGAAGATACGTGGCTTCGCACTTTGGCCATAAATGTGACGCCTTTGCTTCAAGTAAGTGGACGCGTCATTTTATAAACATCCTTTCATCAATCATACATTTTTCAACTTTCCAATGCATTTGACTAAGCTGAGCACTCTCTCCCCTCAGTCTTGTGCTGATACTCATTAGAGCTCAAAATTGTTACTCTAACTGAAATTTTTTGGCCTTGCTTTCCCCGCAAAATAGTGTGGACCCATCATCATTATATGGCCACCATGTTACATGCACTTTCGGCACATTTTAATTTTTTTCTTGTTTTCAATCTTATTTACCGGCCAAGTTGGCCTAGTGGTTAGCGCGTCTGACTCCAGGTCAATAAGGCCCTGGCTCGAATCCCGGTAGTGTTGTCCAATTCTCTTGGAAGTGACGAGTAGGTCTACTGAAACAGATCCTACTCAGCCCTGATCCCTGAAAATTTGAAAAACTTGGAGCATGGATGTGCACTAACCTTGCGCGGTGGCTGTTTGTCTAGGAACTAGGGCCAAAGTTAACCCAACCTAGAAAGAGCTCCAGCTCTTGATAAAAAAAAAAAGAAAGAAAAGAAAAAAAAACACAATTTAGTGACGATATCACAAAAATCAGGCATGATTGATGTTTTTGTATAGGGGGTGTTGGAGGGTTACAACAGCACGGTGTTCGCGTACGGACAGACGGGTTGTGGGAAGAGCTTCTCGATGCAGGGGGTGGAGGAGCCACCCTCGCAGCGCGGGATCATCCCCCGGGCCTTCGAGCACATCTTCGAAGCCATCTCTCTCGTCGAGGATATCAAGTATCTCGTCCTCGTCTCGTATCTTGAGATCTACAACGAGGAGATCAGAGACCTCCTCAGCGAGGACAAGAAGAAAAAGCTCGAACTTAAAGAAAACCCGGAGAGAGGCGTCTATGTCTGCGGTTTGTAATCTCACATATTTACTGTTCACGATACAAAAAAAAAAAAAAAAAAAAATGGGAAACCAAGGCTGAAAGTAAAATGAATGCCTGGGACGCGACGTCTTGGGGTTGTTTCAATCCACTCTTTGACCGGGAAACAAAAAATATAAAAATTAGAAGTAAATATTTTTGTTTTCTGGTTGAGGAGGGGTTGAAACCACCCCAAATCCAGGGATTCTGTTTGTTTTCCGCCTTGGTTTCCCATTTTCTTGTGTTTTGTTTCGCTAAACTATTCGAACAACTTTTGTAGGTATATCATTCTTTTTTGTTCACGTAAACTTGCAGAAGATAGCAAATGCGGCTGTCTTGCGCTTCACATGGAATTAAATTATGTTTTTTTCACGCGCGATTAATAATGAAATTCGTCAATTTTCAATAATCTGAACAATTCCTTTGAGTGCTGTTGATGACAGTGAGCAATATTACCAAAAGTTTAGGATTTCCAGTCCATAAAATCACCAACTCCATCACAGTTGGATCCGTCTCTACAAATTGCAGTTACCTTCGATTATAAAACAGTGTGTCTGTCTCTTTATATCAGATTCCCCTGAAAATTTGGCTTTTTAGACAAGAGATCCCAATCACGCATTGAAGCTGAAACAAATTATCACCCGCAAATTTTACAGGAAACGGATGAATCAGATTAACAAATTTTCTAAGAAACAGATGTGCATTTTTAAATGAAAATTTCATCCATTCGATCTCTAATTACCCTGGTAAAAATTGGCGATAAGACCTGCGTTTCAAAATACCATAGGAGTTCTTATAGCCGACTGAAGAAGGCGATAGAAAATCAAAAAGCTGGCTGTAGAAAGTGAAAAAACCATACGGCCGGGCTACACGAAGCGATAAAAAATTAAACAGCCGGGCTATAGTTCCTGTCGCTGGGCTTTACACTTTATCGCCCGGCTGTTGCTTTTTCGCCATCGGCTATAGAGGGCTATAAAAAAATTGTGTAGAAATTCGTGTGCTTTGTAAATCCGCAAGTTTGTACGGAATCACCATAATATTTACAAAACGCACATTATATTTTCCTTTACAACATATTTGTTTTCATCAATTAAAATGAGAATAATCTATACAGAGTTTGCAAACATTTCAAAGTCATGAGTTGAACAACGCTGACTCCACGAGATTAAGTGTTAGAGCCTGACACAAAGCGGAGCGGCGGCGCACTGGCGCCTACAAACCTAACAGGGATACCTCACGCATTGCGCAATGCGTGAAGTATCCCTGTTAGGTTTGTAGGCGTCAATGCGCGTTCCGCGCTGGCTGCCCGCCTGCCGCGCTGCGCCGAAGCGTACCACGGCGCTTGAAGCAACTATTTCACATCAGAGGTATTGCACAGTATCGCACGAAATTGAAGGCGCTCCAACATATTAGGAATGGCAGGCATCCTTCAAAAGTACGGAGCTTTCCTCGCAAAATAAATCAAGATACTACGGCCCAAAAAGAGAGCGGTAGTCCAAAAACTCACTAAGTCCTAGCATCCGTAATTATTAACGGATAGCATACACTTTATCGTCAGGCTGTTGCTTAATCGCCATCGGCTATAAAAGGCTATAAGAAATTGTGTTGCCGGCTATAGGAGCTATTGGAAATCTTACAGTCGGCTGTAGGTCTATGGTATTTTGGAACACAGATTCTACTGCCAATTGTTACCAGGGTATGCGTAAAAACTAGTGAAACTTTCGACAGAAACTGCTCAGTCATGGGCTCATAAAAATTTGAATATTCTGAATCAATTTTACAACCTTCCTTCGTTTGGGAATACAAAAGAATCCAGGCTTTTGAACGGGTGGAGGGGGGAGCAGAAGGGGGTCCGGGGTATTTCCTTAGAACATTTTTGAAATTGTGAAGTATCTAATGGACCACTAGACAAGGTACGAATTCAAGCATTCTGATACATGTTTCTTAACCAGAATTTCACGTAGAACACGATTTGCGCAACGAAAACTAATGAAACAAAATCCAAACGAAAATATTAACGTTTTTATGTCACATTGGTTACGAGGGATTTGAACTGCCCGCTCACAAGAAACTCAAAGCTCTACGTGAGTCAAATCGCGCACTACCACGGTTTCAATAAGCTTCTCAGTCGAGTAATGTTCATTTCCCATCATGTGTTGTTCAAACTATAAGCAATTTGCTACAGCTGAACCAAAGCGTCAAGATTGAGGTTGTCAGATTTTAATATCGCAGAGACTGTCATGATAACGTCTAGCGCGCGAGGTGAATCACGCAGAGCATTGAGTTTTCATAAGTGGGTGGTTTGAATTCACGCATCAATAATCATTAAATATCTTAGTTAGGAGTTGATTTCGGTGATTTTCGTTATGCGCGTCTTATTCTACGTGAAATTTTGGTCAAGAATCATGTATCAGAACGCTGAAATTCGTACCTTGTCTAGTGGTCCATTATGCAGTTAAAGTAATCTTGTCATGAATAAATATAAACATATACAGTGTCCTTCCATCCATCCTCCTTCATCGTGGGGCTATCTACCCCCGCCCCCCTTCGAATGGCCTATGTTTAGGAAGGACGCGACGAAACATGTGATGAGGTTTGGTTGTTTTCCCTTCTTGAGCGGTGGCGTTTGTGGTTGATTTCAGATTTGTCGCATCACGCCGTGCACGACGTGAGCGAGTGTCGGCGGTTGATGGCGACGGGGCAGCAGAACCGGTCGACGGGGTCGACGCTCATGAACTCGGACTCGTCCCGAAGTCACTCCATCTTCACCGTGGCCGTGGAGATGATGCCCATCCGACAGTGTCTCCAAACGATGAGCATGAGCCACTGCTCCATCCGCCGCGGAAAACTCAGCCTCGTAGACCTCGCCGGTAGTGAGAGGCAAGCCAAAACAGGTTAGTGTCATAGCGGGCTGATTGTTAATCACCCCCCCCTCCCCAAGGGGGGCAGCCCTCGGGGGGTTGGGCTTCTTGGATGCCAGCGGGCTGATTATTGAAATTGATAGATAAAGCTACAGACAAAGACGACAAAAGGGATTTGGAGGGATCCTATTGGTGGAAGCAGGTGGTGGCGTTGGACATAGGAGGTAAGTAATGGACTAACTAACGGCAACCCACCAAAGACCCGACAGTTAGTCCATCATTTTCTTCCTTAGTCAATAAAAACCAATAGGATCGCTCTATACTCCCTATGTCTTCTTTGTCTATCGCTTTGTCTATCAGTTTCAATAATCGGCCCGCAGGTGGGTTAGCCCTCGGGGGGGTTGGTTACATTAGATGTCAGGGGGGGCATCTTCCAGGGGGTTGGGCTCCGTGGATGCTAAGGAAGGCAGCCCCCGCGGGGTCAGTCCTCTTGGATGCCAGGTTGGGGAGCCCCCGGAGTGTTGGTCTCCTTGGATGCCATGGGGAGCACCCCCGGGGGGTTTGTTTTCTTGGATGCCAGGTGTGGCAGGCAGCCCCCGGGGTTTTGCTCCCTAGAAAACTTGTATCACATTGTTGAATTCAGTGGCGTGGCGTGAATTGCGATGTATCGATTGTTAAGCCATTTAAACCTATGGTAAATAATCGATTATTAAGGTGTTCGCTGCGAACACCTTGTTTATCGATCCTTTTCCATAGGTTTAAATGGCCTAACAATCGATAAATCGCAATTCACGCCACGCCACTTGGTGAATTTCGTACTTTGTTGCCTGGGCCAATGATTTGCCTTCAATTGGCTGGATATGCAAAATAACTGTCGTGACGCACGAATAGTGGTATCATAATTTCTCAATACGTTTATATAGTGGGTTGAAGGCGATTTTCTGTATCGTAGCTTGGTGGTTCTGTACAAGGACGTTGACCAGAAATTTTCAGAATTTTTGAGTCTTCAATCGAGTCGTAATTTTGAAAAATGCCCGAAAAACATTATCGCACCTTCCTGATTTCTTTTTTCTGTATGTCATATTGCAAAAAAGAGAGTCCAAACGCTCGTTTCAGATTGTTATTAAGTCTCCTTGCTCTGTTCATAGTATTCTCATGCAAGACTGAAAGAGTCGCCGTTTACAAGATCGCAACTTACTCAAAAGCGGCTGTGAATTCACTAAGTTTCGCACGGATAAAAAGAGCTTCTGACAATGGACTGTGAATAATCAGAATTGCAGAGAAGGTACCTTGTCCACTGGGCCATTTGAAAAGCGTAAAGAAGTGGCAATTCTTAGTGCCGAAGACGCGAATCTCGGCATTTCTCCCGTATATTCTAATAGTTCGAGAAATTATTCAAAATGCTGATGGAGTCCGAAAAATCATCTTTTTCTTGCTACCCTTAAGAATTTTTACCCTTTTACTAACATTAGAGAGGGAATGTAGACATTTTTTTTTCTTCTTCTGGATAATCGTGTTTCCCGAGATACGCAACCCTGCACTTTCACCATCGATTTACGATTTTTGTCAAATCGCGCTTTCCTGTGATTTTGTGCTGTCTTTTGTATTTGACCTAATGCGCCTAAAGATATAAAATTTTGTAATCATGGTCAACATTTAGAAAATTTTCACGTAAAGTTTAAGATTCGGTTCGACAATCATGGAAAATTAATTTTTTTGGCCTCCAAATCATGAAAAACGCGATTTCTAAGATCCAACTGCCGCGAGGCGCATCCCGAGGACAGTTCATCGCATTCGTCTTAGCATCCATGATTTCGCTAGGATTCCTAAATTGTTATCCAAATAAAACCTACTTTAATGTGTTTTAGGGAGGGTCGAGGGGCTAACCCTCCCCCCCCCCCTTCTATAATGCGTGACCGTAGGCGCACTAAAAAAGGAGGAAAAATATGAACCATTTTATCTTTATGGTAACGATTAATGTTTCTCGATTCATTCGAACAAAGTGTGTGCAACATTTTGATATTTTGCTAAATTCGATGGTTGATTTGTTGAACAGGAGCAACTGGAGATCGACTGAAAGAGGCAACGAAGATCAATCTCTCGTTATCAGCCTTGGGAAACGTAATTTCAGCTTTGGTCGACGGCAAGGCGAAGCACATCCCTTACAGAGACTCCAAGTTGACACGACTTTTGCAGGTCAGCATTCATGTTTTTTCCCTTACGATGTAATTAAATCCAAAACGGTTGGATCGCGTCAGACATGAATATTCTGTTTAAAATTGCAAATTTTTAATCCGTCAAATTTCAAATTTGAGGGTTGGTGTCAGTTGAAAATTTCACGAAAAAAACCAATGAGACCACTTTTAAAACCTCAAAGTTTGGCACGGACGGAGATGCAAGCCTGCACTGCAATGAGCAATGATCGATTATCGACATTCCCCCATTTGAGGCTATGATACAGAATCGATTATTAAGGTATCCGTTACGAACACCCTGATAATCGATCCTTTTCCACGAGTTTAAATGACAGATCAATTGATACATCGCAAAGCACGCCACACCATCGATTCGACCATTTAATTGTATGTACAAATATTGATTTTAGGTGAGGAAAGCTGCCTCACCAGGGATCGATTGTTTTACATACATTTAAATGGAGGAAAAATAGTGTTGCCAACTTTTACGAATCGCCACTGCTCTTCCCGGAGAGTCATTCCACCTTATGAACTACGTTAAGAGGTGTTCTACCTTACATCAAGTGAACGGTATTTTACGCAGGATTCGCTGGGCGGTAACACGAAAACACTAATGCTGGCATGTTTGGCACCATCCGATTATAACTACGATGAGACCCTCTCGACATTAAGATATGCCAACCGAGCGAAGAACATTCACAACAAGCCGCACATCAACGAGGACCCTAAGGACACCATGCTCAGAGAATACCAACAGGAGATACAAAAACTCAGGGCCCTTCTTGAGAACAACGCTCAAGTCTACAATTCAATGAGTGAGTTATTTTCTAGTTATTGCAAACCTTGCACGAACACTGTTAACACAATGCTTTTAAATGGTTATCGTTTGTGTCTACACTATTAAAGTGTAACAAAAATCTATTCGCCTTCAATTAGATGATTAGGCAAAAACAACACCTGCGTTTTCCGAGTATAGCGAGCTGAGGAAAAATCGAGTATTTTCAGATATCAGCAACAGTGCGCCACGTTTTTATGAAGATCTCAATGGTCACAAACACCCAAAGTTTCATTAAATCACTCCTCGTATACTTGCAAAATTAATTCGCGCAATGATCCCAACGTCAATGCAGCGGATAGATGATTCAGTGAAGCGAGCATATGTAATAAACATAATTTACCCTCAATTTAAAAAAAAAAAAAATAACTCTAATTATATATCGTCACTCTACCATGTCGAGAAAATTAGTGAATGGTTTTATGTGTAATTTGAGTTCAGTAGAAATTTTTGTTGGATGTCGTGGTAGTTTCGCTGTTTGTATCCGTGTTCTCCATAACTTCTAATGCTATCTAGACTTCTTCCGTGATTTTAGGGAATGACAGATTCTATCAAAATTATTTACGTTTAAGCAATTCCTCTTTCTACCAATCTTTAGTCTGCAAGTACCAATTTCGGTCATCTTTAGAGAATGATCCTCAGTATTTCGAAATTTCATTTCATAATGTAAGACTTAGGTAACTTGCTTTTTTGTTTTTACCTCATTTTTGGGGTAAAAAAAATCAAGATTTGAAAAATTCAAGCAGGTGGTCGGCATTTCAACTTTAAAGATTATATGTTCGGATGCACTCCTCACTGCTGATGGGTACCTAGTGTCTTTTTACATGCAAAATGTATCAAAATTAGAGATCCACAATGCCATTACACGCGTAGAGGGGCCAGGGGCAAATCGGAAATTCAATTTTATGTGTCAAAACAAAGAGAATGGTGTATCATTGAAACTTTTTTACATCAGCTACATGCTGTATACAGGAGACTTTTTTGTAGAACTGCAACCGCACTACTTGGCCCCTCTTGGAAAAATATTTTAGCTAATGGCCTGTTGCACAGTTTTTTTATTGCTTGTATCGAAAAAACTGAGGATCCTCATGTCACAGGAATTTTTCCGGAGTTTTTTGACTACTGGAAATCCCCAAAAAATCAACTTAAAAACGCCCCGAGATTCGGATTTTCTAAACGCTCACTTTTACGCGGGAACGGATACGGTACACTTGTGACGTGATAGTACATGGTAAACCTAATCGTTTCACCGTATACAATGTGTTCCTCCATGAGGAATTGGTAGCCGCTTAATGGAGAGGCCAGGTTTTTCGTCATGGGTGTGCTAGATCCCCTTACCGCATGAAAGTAACCGTTTCCAAGTCGGTTCCTAAAACAGATTTTTTGAGTTTGATAGGTGATGTCAAGATTTTTTAGTAGATTCATCGTTCTTTTCGTGGAATTTGCATTTGGGATCAGTTATCAATTCGCGAATCTCTGCACCTTGCAACAGGCCCAATGAACTCAGCGGGCTGAGTGTTGAAATTGATAGACAAAGAAGACAAAAGGGATTTGTAGGAATCCTTTTTGTGGAAGCAATATGTGGTTTCCATGGACCAAGAATGTAGATAGTAGACTAATTGATGGCAACCCACAAGAGACCCTGTAATTATTAGTCCATTATTTTCTCCCTTAGTCTATAAAAACCAACCATATCGAGCAATAAGATCGCTCCAAACTTCCAATGTCTTCTTTGTCTATAGCTGTTTCTATCAAATTCAACAACCAGCCCGCAAAAGCATTTTAATGAGCGTGCTACAAATACTTTGAGAATGAAGCTGTAGCCCCTGTGTGTTTGATGACGACTGACATATGTGTGTCTAGATAGTATGAGAAGTTTTGGCTGTTTTTAGATGGCTCGGATGCGTTGTCGCAGGAGAGACTGGAGAAGGAGGAGCAGGAGAGGGAGAGAGAGAGGGAGAGGGTTCGCGTCGAGTACGAGACAGAGATGGAGCGACTCCGTCAACAGTACGAAGCTGAGCTCAAATCCAAGTGCCAAATGCAATCCGACCTCCTCCGACTCAGGGAGCAGTACGACCACCAGCTCAACAATCTCAACAACCTCAACCATCAGGTCAGTTTTTACTGAGAAGTTTGGTCGTATGTACCAAAGTTCGGTGTCCCATATCATCCCTACTAACTCGGTTTGTCAAACCAAATTCTCGGTTCGCCAAACCGAACTTCAACGGTAAAGTGATCTGACGAGCAAAGTTTGGTCATATGAACCGAGTGCTCGGTTACATGAACAAAAAATTCAGTTTGACAAACCGAATAGTTGGGATGATACGGAACACCGAACGTTCGGTTCATATGACCAAACTTTGTTCGTCAATTCACTTTACCGTTGAAGTTCGTTCACACGAACTAAAAGTTCCGTTTTACGAACTGAGAATTCAGTTTGACAAACCGAATAGGTGGGATGATACGGACCACCGAACACCCGGTTCATAGGACCGAACTTTTTTTTTTCGGTGTATGAAAACTAGAAACAACTGAAACAAACCGATGGTTGCAGGGAGAAACCACGTTTCTCCATTGAGGTTTTTAAAAATTTCCGCTCGTGCATAGGCGGATCAAGGAAAGGGGGGCGTAGGGGCCGTAGGGAGCGTAACCCTCCCCTCCTCCCGTTAGCCCAAAAAAAAGAGGAAGAAAAAGGTAAAAAAAAGAGGAGGAAGGAACGGAGAAAATAAAAAGGTAGGACGCTCACATTTGGTAATTATTCATGACAAAATTGACTGAAACTGCACATTAGATACATTAAAATTGCGCAAATTTTCGGGGATGGGGAGCTCCTTTACAGCCCCTTCCCCCACTCGAAGTGTCTGGATCCGCCTATGCGCGCGTATTCTATAATTTTGGAGAAAATCAATCCAACCTCATAGCTTGAAATGGAAACAGAATATATTCTGCTGACAGAAATGAAAAATCAAGGAAGTTCCCAAGGATTACATTGAATAGTTTTCCATAGAAATAATAAAGTGTGACAGGAAGTCTAAAACGTCGTAAACGAAAGTACGTGGTTTTGCACTTTGGCCATCGATATTGACGGTGAAACGTGTATACAACGTATACTGTTCGAGGTATCTTCGATATTTCCACTCTTATGTTACTTTTGTAGAGGAGAAGAAATCAACTTAACTCCTAGAGGATTTTACGGAATTTTTTAGCACCTGAAGTAATGGTCTTCGAGAGTGCCAACAACACCTTTCGCATACGCCTTTGGATGCTATCATCGCGAATGAACGCAACAACTTGTAGTTCACATATCAGCGCCTGAATGCAACTATTCGTGTTCTATGGATGTGCGTGTTGCGTGTAGGAATAATTGAAGGCGCTCTAAATTCCCTAAATCGTCACTCCTGAGCGACCCAAATGATGCGACACCACGATGGTGTGGCGTGCGGCGACTCTGTACGCTGAGATCGAAACATCATTCAAATGAAGAGAGCCCACTCTTGTCGCGATTTTCCATACGCACAGTTTTCACGACTTTAAAACAACTGTTTGAGCATAGCAGTTTTTTGTTTTTTGTGTTTTTTTGTGGCTGCTTCAACAAACGAGCGTTAAAAAAAATGAACTGATGGTTGACATATTCAGAAGACGCAAAGTTAAAACTATCCGTGTTTGAATTGCACATAGACGTATCTTCATAACGTATAGACACTGAATTTATACGAGCTGACCGACGGAAAAAAATTTAGTCTCTAAATAGATTTTTTTACAATGATCTACAAGTGTTTGTCCAGGTCCATTTAAACATGTTTTTTCTTCTTATTTTTCAGACTCAATTAAATGGAAACACGGACGATCTAATAATGAACAAAGCCCTCAAAAGGTAATGTAGCGAAACAAAGCCAGCGATGGTGATTTTGCCGTCATGAATCCAAATTCAGTGTATAATTGGAGGTGTTTCTGCCAAACGGAACTATGTGCAATAAGACGTGAGCCCTGTTATGCATACATTCTTATGGGTCTCAGGGCTCATGTCTTAATGCGCATAGCTCCATTCGGCAGAAATGCGTCCAATTGGGAGTCGCGAGATGGAGGGAGCTAGCTCATTCAAGTACAGTTTCTCATCCGAGAGATATCTTGTTGGATGCAATACTACCAGCTACGTCCCATTAAAGTGACCCCCTGACCGCTCCGCGATCTAACCCCCCGAAACGGTTGGGCACTATGCGCTAAGCGTTGTACGCGCTTTACTCTTGTAATTTTATAAATAGTAAATAATTGAATTTTAATCATGGCCAAAACGCCATTTCTCTGTCTGTACGACTTGTGTGTGGACCGCAACTGATGGTCGTGCAATTTAGAAGATGGGCACTCTTGGCCTTTCTTTGAAAAATGTAGCTAATATGATGTATTTGAATGACGTGAGCGCAGATCAACAGATTATGCTGCTATGTGTTCTTTAACAGCATTTAGAAACTCATATGGTGCATATCCATATTGAGGCTCCTTCAAAACTTCATAATACTCATTCGCTACCAAAAGGTCAAAATAGTTGCCACGTTGAAACGTAGACTTTCATGCGACCAAAATTTCTAAAACGTCGAAAGACTAAAGAAATCTCTTTTCTTTTTTCTCCATATGTAATATAAATTCAACGGTGATCTCTAACCATACCAAATAAGATATTCTTTTGTGTGTGGTAATCTTCTTCGACTCCTCCATATGTTCAGTGCGTGTATTTTCTATTATAATGAGGCTATCTTCGTATATAATTTCAAGCACTTTGATTCTAGCTATGATTTAAAAGGATATTGAATATTGTTCTCTTTTTTTCTCTTACAGCAAACCGGATTTTAACGCCGCTCAACAAGAAATTTTAAAAAGGTTTGTTTTCAAGATGTTCTTCTAGTGCTTTTAAATTCATGGGGGGTGTTGATGTAGTTAACAAAGTGTTCGAACAAATAAGGATTTTCGTGAAATTGAATTCCTGAAAATTGTCAAAGGGATCCGCAAAAATGTTTTCTAGCTAAAAATTGTTTTGCCCAGTTAAATTTGGCCAAAGCTAACGTGGCTCGGTTACTTCCTGCTAAACACGGTCCAAATCAGTGAAAATTTCAGTTAGAAACGCCCAAGTTTCTCTCAGTAAAAATGCAATATACGAGGAGAAATTCGGCGCATTGAAAAAAAAAACTTTGATCGTGAAAGTCGTACTTTCGGGCTATATGTACATACCGTCCACGCTCCAGGCTCAGAGGCTGAAAGTTCCGGGTGGAGTACCCGGAGCAGTCAGAACTACGGCTTCAGCACCCGGAACTTTCGGCATCTGAGCCCGAAACGGACGGTATATCTATATCTATATAGCCCGTAACTTGTTTCCTAGTGCATTATTGAAATGTACTTACGTTCTTTCGTGGGAGGTATACACTGAAAAAAAAGTATGCTGTTTTAGCACCTAGGATGTCAAAAATGTGTCTGGTGATCCCAAAATGCTGCCTTTACTGCCCTCGCAGTTAATTTTACATCCTAAGAATGCAAATTCAACTGCGTGGGCAATCAAGGTAGCGTCTTAGGATGACCAGACACATTTTTGACATCCTAGGTGCTAAAACAGCATACCATTTTTTTCCAGTGATACGATGAAATGTCCTGGCTTTTGTATTTCAGGCTGGAGAAGTTGCAGGCGAGCATGGTGGGCGGGGAGCGGGTGCACGACGAAGCGTTGCGGGAGCGTCGGCTCCGGAAGAAACGGGCGGCCGAGCGGCGGCTCACGGCCCTCGCCCAGGTCCTGTCCCGGGTCCCACCCGACGAGGACGAACAGGGGCCCAACCTCGTCCTCGGGGTCTATGACGACATCCAACACCAGCTCCAGGCCAAGACTGAGATCCTCCGTAAAACCAAACACAAGGTCGCTCACACAAGGATAATACATTTCGTAGATTTTTTAGCAACGCCATTATTAATGATAGTAAATTTCGACGGTGTAAGTCGGCAATCACGTAGGTAACTCGTTTGCGGTGTCTGAAAATCTCCGCCTCTTTGTTATTTTTTTAAACGAGAACAAATTGACATCATTCCTTGAAGTTTTTTCAGAATTCTCTTCGCACAGACAAGAAAAATCACGGCAGTTTTAAAGATTGTCGTTGAATAGTTTTCCGTTTAAAAAATGAAGTATGACAGGAAGTCTGCAACGTCACAAACCGAGTTATGTGATTGCCGACTTACACCGTCGATTTGTAAATTTGAATGAGAACCAAGGTGTTGTATTGAATATTTATCAATTACTGAGGCACCTTTCGGCTTACACCATCTTCGGAGTACATCTTCATCGGAACATAAATATATCACAGTTACTTTACACTAGTCGTCACGAGCTTAACAATATATACATCGTGGACATCATACGAAAAGTCCAAATTACGATCAAGTCCAAAAGTAACTGAGTAACTTGTGTAAAGTAACTGTGATATATTTATGTTCCGATGAATATGTACCCCGAAGATGGCGTAAGCCGAAAGGTGCCTCAGTAATTAATAAATATTCAATACAACACCATTGGTTCTCATTCAAATTTACAAATTAAAATGGTGTTGTTCCAGTCAAACCTTATTAATTGATAATAGATTTGTTGGATTTAGTGAAGGTGTCAGATTTGGATCATTCATGTTTATATGTGATAAGCTGTGATAACGACAGTCGAATGTAACGAGTTATCTGTATATGTGTTAAAGACTTTACGATTTCAAATGTCCAAGTAATTGAATACCTCTGATGTTACGCCTCACCTCTGAATACGCGTTTCGTCTCATCCAACTTTTCTACTCTGCGTTAAACTCTCCGATTCAGCGGAGTAGAGACTTACAACTCTTTCATTGTTGTGGAAATGCGAGAGAGTTTTGTTGCTTCGTGATTATGACCGGATCTGTGAGAAGAAACCTCATTTTCCGGAGGACATTTTCCGAAACTTTGAGATTCACGCGAAGAAACGATCGTGGGAAGCGCCTGCAAAACTCCGGGAATACTTCAAGCATTGCGCCGTCTCCCCACGTTCACTGCGGAACTCGATCTCACTAGCTCTCGGCTCTTGACTAACGAATAGGACTAAAAGTTTCGAGATGCGCACGCTATTCGGAAACGCGTATTGCCGTGCTATGGAAGAACGCCGTATGCGTTTTTCCTTAGCATGGCAGCGTGGGGCAGAGTGCGTACACAACTTTAAACGGTGGACGCAAAAATGGAGCGCATTTTGACAAAACGTAATACATTTTATATCATATCATCCAATATTCGAGGTTGTGAACTACGCAATTTTCCCTCTGTTAACGCAGTCCGTGAACGACCGATCGGTCGTTGCTCCGTGAACATTCTGCACCCCTGTATAAGTCCAGAGCGCCTCCGTCGAAACAATGGCCAACTGAAGTTGGTTGGCCGCGCGTGCTCATCTATATTCGTGTTTAATTTATTGTATCAAATTATATGTCATTGATTAAATGCCGTACATATGTTCTAACATTGATCAAAAAGAGAAGGAGAACCTTAAATTCAGGTTATTAATAACAGGTATAATATTAATATAAAAACTGTGCATTTTTATTGACACTTCTATGTTCTCTTCAACGGAGGATATGAATCATATTTTCGTTTGAAAAACTATTAAACAAGCTATGTCATAATATTTAATTTTCAATTGATTAACAATGTTTCCCTCCTTTATATTTGTAGCTGAAAGCTCTAGAGCGAGAAATAACAGACATCCAGAGTGAATTTGAGAATGAGAGGACCGACTACTTGGAGACTATACGAAAACAGGAACGCCAAATTAAGCTACTGTCCCAAATCTTAGAAAAAGTTGTGCCAACCTTGCGAAAAGAATGTAATTACTCGTAAGTAAATCAATTTCATTAGATATGCTCGTGAGCAAAATTATTAAACTGACTGGATTTCTGACTAATTTTGATTAGAAGCATGCAGCCTGATTCTGTAACCAATCGGAAATTTAGCAATTCCTCATAACTGGTAGCCTACCAATAGAATTGCTCCATTTTCGTAAGTCACAAGATCCGGCTATCGGTTTCCATTGACTGTTTGTAGATTAAATTCATCCGAATTATATGAAGCATGCCCCGGTACGACGGTACGTGTATGATAAATTTGGACATCGTTTCATATATTACAGTGGAATAAATTATAATAAGAAAGACAGTGAAAAACTAGAGGGAAAATAAATATTAAACAATTTCAAATATGACGAGCGATTACGCGAATAAAAGAAAAAAACCATAAAGAATCTTGAGGAGTTTGAAAAATTTCATGGCCAGTAACAGATACATTTACTAAAAAGTAATAATACTGTCTTTATAGCAATGCCAAATATTTTTCGGGATAATTTTTCGGTGAGTTCATATTAAAATAATTGTGGGAGACTTGGATGGGGGTGAAATTATTTTTCTTCTTATTCTCATCAAAAATAATTCGAAACAGAATTGGCGAGAGATCTGACACTGGAGTTGCAAGTTGCGATTATAACAGTACTACTTCCGATGGGTATTGTGAACATTATTAATGAGAATAAATCTTCATAATGGGGAAACTATGAGGAGAAACGCCTGTGCAAAAGATTATACGGGTTTACAGGTGCTAAATCAAACAAGCCATGATATCACACAAAAGCGATGTATTTTTTACAGCTGAAGCTGTGATATCGAGTTATCGGCGAGCGAGTTCGGGTCTTGCGAACCGTAAAAATGCGCGGCCAATCTCACACGCGACGTTGTTGCTTGCAGTGGCGTGGCGTGAATTGCGATATATCGATTGTTATGCTATTTGAACCTATGGAAAAGGATCGATTAACAGGGTGTTCGCAGCGAACACCTTAATAATCGATTCTTTACCATAGGTTTAAATGGCATAACAATCGATACATCGCAATTCACGCCACGCCACTGGTTGCTTGCCTCCCCCTCTTCGTCAACCCCACTTTTTCCCTCGATATAAGATGGGCATCGGTGTTCCGGCTTTATACGACTTTTCCTACGATCACGTTCAACAAATGAAAAAAGGGAATCACGGACGTGACCACGACCCATTACTCTGATTGAAAATCAAAGAATTTTCATGTTCCTGCACGCAGAGCTGCGAGCTGATTGTTGACATTGATAGGCAAAGCTATAGATAAAGAGGACATAAGGAGTTTAGTCGAGTGATCCTTCCGGTTGAAGGAGGGTTGAGGGGGTTCCTATAGACTAAAGGAGATAAAAAGTCTATTGCCTACCTCCTCTGTCCGTTGCAACCACCCGCTTCTACCAATAGGATTCTTCCATATCCTCATTGTCATATTTCGTCGTCTCCCGCACGAAGGAACGTAACTCCAATCCAAGGTTGCCAAATTGACTCCAACAATTAATTTATTTTACAAAAATGTAAGTGTGCAATTTATATCCAAATTTGTCTGATTTTTGCATGAAATCGGAAAAAAAATCAGTGAAATTTTCAGTTAGAAATGCCCAATACTTTTCTGGTTGAAATGCAATTTACGAAAGGAAATTTGGCAACATTGAAATGTAGTTACGTTCTTTCGTGCGGAAAATGACGATTTGTCTATCGCTTTGTCTACCAATTTCAACAATCAGCCCGCAGATAGAGGTATCCGTCTAAAATTGATGTAACATCCAAAATCGTAGTCACTATCAACTTGGGGGGGGGGGGCTTAATGGTGAAAAGTCTCAAATTCTCTTGACGGGATTCATGGCATAAGCTCGCTGTGTTATGAGAATATGGGCACGTTTGATCTAAACCTGGCCTCATGCGAAATTTATTAAAGTATTGCTGCTCTGCCAGGTCAAAATAACTCCTAAGAAGTTTCAATGTCGGAGTTTTTCATCGGGTATTTCTCGTCTCAATTTAAGGTGAAAACATGCACTACTCATTGTAAGTTTAATCTTTATGTTCATTTTAAATAATTTAAATAATCCCGATCAATCCAGTAGTGACTCTCGTTTTTCATTCGTGATTTTCTTAATCCAAGGAACAATGATGATTATTTTTTGCAGCAATTTGGACAAAATCAAGCTTCAAGCTGTTTGGAACGAAGATTATCAAGATTGGCGTCTTCCAGATCTAGTTTATGAGAGGACCAAATTCCCACCAGCAGGTAAGTAGTAATTAGCCTCCGCTAAAAACGTTTTATGCAAAACTGCTTTCCGATTTGATGCGCGTTGCAAAATTAATAAATTGTATGTAATTTAGTTCCCGATCGTAGAGCAAAACTTTAAATAATGAATCAATTTACCGTTCACATTAATTCATACCAAGGGGCACGCCCCCTGACTACTTCGCGGATAAAACCATCAAAGCGCTTCTTCGCGCCTCAGGCGTTGTGGGTCACGCGTTACTCTCATGATTTTAAATTATAGAGTAAGATTTTTGTGGCACCAAGTTAAAAGAAATACCATGACCTTTGACCCTTGAACGAGACCTTGGATCCTTGAAAAAACTAAAATTAAAGTACCTTTATAGACAGAGTATGGCCATTTCTGTTCGGGTTTTTCATTGGTCGCGAACGAATAGGCTGACACGATGCTCTTAGGGCCGTAAATAACCAAACAAGATGGCTGTTATCAGAAAGCAAGATTGAGGTTATTCATATCTTACATCCTCCTGTGATAAAGGTGAAAGGCGATTTAACAATGTTTTCGTGTTTGCGAGTGTGTGTGTCCCTTTGACGAGCCGCGGGTTGCCGCATCTGATCAATGAGTGGGAGAGAGATAGACGATAAAACGGCGGCTTGTCAAAGCCGAGTGTGCTCCTTTG